AATAATAAGATTAACTATTATTAGTAACAAAATTTGTTGTGACCTTAACCAGGTGACAAAGAAGAACTAGTTCTCATTTACACTGCAAATAAAAAAAGTCTATGTTTCTGACTTTATTTCTGGTCATATTTGTGTAAAACATTCATCAGTCTCTTTTACAGTCTCTTTTGTACAAGTTCAGCGCTTAAAGCCTGACAAATTCAGAAATATCTGACATAAACAAGTTGCAGTTTTATGATATTGCTCCTGGAAAACTGGTTTTATAAGTCATAGCCTTAAATGTGGGGGGGAAACGTGGAACTTTGACAGGGAAATGCATCAGAAGCCTTTTGTCAAGTCGATGAAGTCGAAGTGTGTTCTATCGTCTTTCCAGATGCCAGTGATTTCCTGAAAAAGCACCGGCTTGCCTTGGAGAGTCAGTATGTATCAGAGCACCTCCATGAATGGATCGACTTGGTGTTTGGCTTCAAACAGAGGGGCAGTGAAGCTGTTGAAGCTCATAATGGTAACACACTTTTTTTTTTTTAAATGAGTCACTTTAAACCCAAACTACTCAGAAAATTTCATGTTTATTTTTTTTGTCCTTCTAGTTTTTCACCCGTTGACCTACGAAGGCGGGATGGACTGTGACAGGTGTCATAGAAAACCAGTTGAAATTGATTATTGTTGTTGTTCTACGAGGTTCATCGCTAACCACTCCCCCCCCTCTCTCTGTGTGCCCGGGCAGCATCGAGGACACGGATCAGAGAATAGCCATGCTGACGCAGATCCTGGAGTTCGGCCAGACGCCCAAGCAGCTCTTCACGAGCCCTCACCCCCAGAGGATCACACCCAGGTTCCAGAGCCTCACCCGGAGCCCCAGCGTCAACTCCGCCACCGGCGAGCTGTCTCCTGGTAACGCTGCGGCTCGCACATTCAGATGCCTCAGTTTCACATGTTTGTTATTAGTAATACGCGTTTACTGTTTTCCAGTGAATCTGCTGCTGTAAAGCATGCTGATTTCAAAATAAAAGTCAATATTCACACACAGTGGCCATGTTGCAATCACAAACTTGACTATCAAACGATGTAGTTCAGGATTGTAGAGTGAATTAAAAAGTTTAATTTACAAAAAGTGTTTACCAAAAAAATTAATAAATAAATCTGCAGCAGTTGTTAAATGTTTCACCCCATCAGGGTAATACAAATTGTTAGTTTTTTGCCTTGGTCTCGTCGTATTGACATCAATTGTGGTAAACGTTTCAAATTGTAACAGGATAAAATGTGGAAAGCGGTGTGAAACGTTTTCTTCCATGTGTTTCAGTCTCTCTGTGCGAGGACTCGTCGTTTGAAGACCTGACTGAGGAAAGCAGGAAGATGGCCTGGGCCAACATGGGAACTCTGAAGCTGATCTCCAGCCACAAAATCCATAAGGAGTATGTCTGCTGCTCTCTTCTCAGCAACAGTAATAAAAGAGTCATGAATGTAACACAGTGGAGCACAGAACAGAAAGTTAAGTTTCAGACACGACGTTTGGGCAGCAGGCAGAACCGTCTCCTTTGGAATATTTCAATAGTTTTGTGATGGCAGAAAATCTATTCTTAGATGTGTTTTTATGAAATATTAGAAATAAACCTAAATATACACACTTTTCACTCTAAACGTGAAACTAATTCTGCCTTTTAAAACGTCCAGAGCCGTGACGGGCATCGCTGTGACTCGAGACGGCGCTTCTGTCTTCTCTACGTCTCAAGGTTTGGAAAAAAAACAAAAAACAAACCGCTTAGTACAGCATGTTTGGTAGCTAGGCAACTGGAAAGTTTTCTCCTCCATCAAATTTAAGTTGAACTTAAGATATCTTACTGTTTCTGTCAACTTATTCCAGACTCAACCCTTAAAATGTTTTCCAAAGAGCTGAAGGAATTCCAGAGGAGCATTTCCTTCTCCAACATGGTACCCAGCAGGATTTCCCGTTCGTTTCCCCGTCATGTAAAACAGTCGAACAGTAAACCTCTCCGCTGTTTTCCAGGCGTTATCTTCATGCTTGATGCTGGCCGACGGGAAAACTGTGTTGTGTTCTTCATGGGACAACAACGTGTGAGTGCTGGGACTGAGTGAGCGAATGCTTAATGAATTTTACTGGATGACTCTTTCCTGATCTCCTCTCGTCTTCCCTGGCAGCTACTTCTATTCCGTCCCATACGGCCGGCGGCAGGACACACTGATGGGTCACGATGACGCCGTCAGTGAGATGTGCTGGTTTGATGATAGGCTCTATACAGCATCCTGGGATTCCACTGTTAAGGTGCCTTGTTTCTTTTTTTTTTTTACCTGCAAAAAGGTATTTTTAAACACTACGAACACTTACATTCTGATTGATCGAAGACGGTCAGATTGCAATTTTCTGTCTGATTTAAAAGCCTCACTTGACTATTCCGATTTATTTGTTTTTTGTTCTGGTGTTGATTTGGCAGGTATGGCAGTGCGCCTCTAAAAACCAACCCAGTAACAAAAAAACTACGTTTGAGTTGCTGGCTGAGTTAGAACATGACGCTGGGGTGAGTCACATGCCGAACCGTTTTAAGTTTTCTAATATCTCTGCATCAGTTTTCTATATTTTATGGTCACAATGTTTTATTGTTCTAGAATATGCGTTATGCTTTTGATTGCACGACTGTCAGCTAAATCTTTCTTGCTTGACGCTAATAAAACCTGGCTTCCCTGCTGAATTACGTCCAGGTAAACACGGTCGGTCTGAATCCCGCCGGGACTCTGCTGGCGTCCGGCTGTAAGGACGGGACGGTCACCATCTGGGACACCAGCAGCTACCGGACTCTTCAGCAGGTCCACTGCCACGCTGGAACCATTCACCACTCTGCCTTCAGTCCTGGTGTGTCTCACCATAGCAAACAGCGTTTTTTTTTTTCTGCCACATGCGACGAAAGCGGCAATAAGCATCAGCATTGATCAGCTCTGCACACAAACCTTTTGATTTTATAAAATACTTTCTCTTATACAGAGAATATTCAAGTTTCTTTTTGAATATCTGTTTTTAGAAGCATGTTTGAAAGGTCTGGGTAACGCGTAATGAGTCTCTGGTTGTTACTTTCCTCAGACAGCAGACATGTTCTCAGCGTTGGTGACGACTGCTGTATGAAGGTGATAGACGTTCAGACTGGAATGATCATCTCTTCTGTGAAAGCTGAGGAGGAGCAAAGGTGGGAAACTGACTCTTCGGGCATGACGTCGTTACATCTGAAGCTTTTTTTTTTTTAACATTTTCTAAGTGGTTGGATGCTTCTAACAAAAATGTGCCTTGGAAAAGTTTTCATACTATCATGTATTTTATGCGACACACCAACACGTTACAAAGTGGAAGTGAAGCACACATGGTTTGCAATTAAAAACCAAAAACTGAGGCATGCATTCCTATTGATCTTTACTAAAACACCCATAAACAAAATTGAGATCAACCAGACGTCCTGAGAAGTCATCTGATTAGTTTCAAGAGATGGGTTTTAAATTAATAAGACAATGGTAACTCCAGAGTACCTGCAGAAATCCAAAGTGAAAAAAGAAAACTGTAAGAAATCTTGTCTATACTTCACATTTGTTTTGTTTGTTGGGAGATTTAGGGTGATCCTTGAAGACAATCTGTTGGACTGCAAAAGAAGAGCTTTGTAGGTTAAATCATATTCATGGCCCAGTCAAAGTCCATGAGTATGACTGGGCCATGAAGATCTTAGATCACACTAGTATTTTCAGAAAAATACTTAAAATAAAAGTTCAGTCTAACAGTACTTGGCTCCTTCTAAGTACTAAATAGCTTAAGTTCAAACCCGTGGCACACATTTCAGATTTTCATCTGTGCAGGAAATACGGTAACAATGTATTTATCTTTGTGTTTGGAGTCACTAATAAAATACATTACGGTTTATGGCTGTAAAGTGACAAAATGTGGAGAAGTTTATGGTGTGTTGACATTTTTTTGTTTGTTTTTCTTGCTGTTGTGAGTAGCTGCCTTATCTCTGCGTTTTGCAGATGTTTCTGCTGGGATGGGAGCTTGGCGCTGTGTGGAGGACGCTCTGGTGACCTCCTTCTATGGGACCTGCTCAGCAACACGGTCATCAACAGAATCCCCGCTCACTCTGGTACAACTCACCTTTACGAGTTAACCACAACTTTACATGAAGGAGAGCAATAAAACAATCTTCTCTGATTCACTGTTATCAGATGCAATAAAGGCAGGGAGAATTATCAAAGAATCAGGTTAAAAAGGCAGATTTTCTGTACTTTGATTCAGTTCTTTTACGCCAAACGGTGAGCCGATCAATAAATATAAGTGCTTGCTTTTCCAGGTGCTGTCACCGCCATGTGGATGAATGAACTGTGCAACACGGTGATCACAGGTGGAGAGGACAAACAGATCATGTTCTGGAGGCTGCAGAGTTAAAGGTCTCTCTCTGCAGCGACGGAGACCAAATCTTCTAGTTGAAGCCACAGGCCATGTTTCCCTCTGATCATGTGACTCAAGTAAAAGGAACAGACTTGTGGCACGGCTAGGAAGATCTGAGATTATTCCCTTATAGTATGTCAGAAAGTTGGGTGGAGGACGTAATGTTAATCATTGTCAGATATATCAAAATACAAACATGTCTAAATGCAGTGTTCGCTTGAGAGCAGGAAGCTAAAACGATGTAATCGCCTTATTTTCAAATGTTTTTAATCCTGTCAATTATGGATAGTTGTGTGGATTTTATTTTGGTTTATTTTTTATTATGTTATTATGACGAACAGCTGTAAACCCAAGAAGGTTCGCTTGTGTAGCTCATACGATGGATGTTAATTTTTTTTTAATTGGTGATGTTTGTAATTCCCTTGCTTTATGTGCATTTTATTATTTATTGCTACAGAAACACAGAATTACCTCAAAAGCAGTCGTCCAGTTTGTTTTGACAAAACACGGAGAACCTAAAGGCGCAAGATACTATCTCATACCCACCGTGAAGTAGCAGCAAAAGTAGCAGTTTAAAAAACCTTTTGAACATCCATTGTTTTATATTCAATTTTTAGTAAAACAGTCTGAGAGACTTAGGGGTTACGATCTGTTACAATAAATCTCTAGAAAACCTTCATTTAAACCACGACACAATTGATGAGGTAAAAACTATTCAAAGATAACTAAAATTTTTTGCTTTTTAGTTCCTTTTAATGGATTTCTCTCTTCAGAATTTGAGAAGGTTAATCAGAATATTTGTTGAAATAGACTTGAATTTTAATTTCAGTTCTACTTGGATTTATTTTATTTTGTGTAACACTTTTTTTTGTTTCCTAAATTGCAGAGGTATACAGTCTGAAATTTTAGTTTTCACAAATCTGCGCCCTCATTTGAGCTTCAATAATCAAAGTTCAAATTTACAAAACTGTACATGATGACATTTAACTTCAAGCAAACTTCCGCCTCTTATTGTTCCTCTTCTGCAGCTTTCTGTAAACAGAAGACAACCAGACGTGAGCGCTCATGTGCAATTCTGATCAGAACATTTACATTGTGCTAATCACTGGCATCAACATCATCTTTAGAGCTTTTAGCATCGCATATGAATTCATACTTTCCAGAGTGGAATGATCACAAAGCAAACCATCAAAAAACAAGTTTGAAATTATTACGGATTTTGTCATATCCACAAAGGAAACTTGTTCATTTAATCCAAGTCAGAGGCACACTATTTTTTTTTTCTTTAAAAAAAGTTTTGGTTTGTAAGAGTTTCACCCTGCAAAACAAAAGCCCTCCAAAGACCCTGATGCCAGTGGCGACTGGACGTAACCTCCTGACTGAACAGAGGACCATGGGTGATTCTCCATCGGTTTGCGTGTCATGAAGATCTCACCTTGAGCTTGTCAAGCAGCCCCGCTTTGCGCAAGTTGGCGAATGCTTTGAGGAGCTTCGGCGTCTGGGGTTTCTGTCCAAACAGCGTCAGACCTTTCGGCTTGTCGTCTTTGGTTGGAGCCCCTGCTGCAGCTTTGGCTTTAACCAGTTGCCTTTATGGAGCGCAGAGAGCAGTGGATTCTTGGTTATATAAACTTCTGCAGAACAGGACCGCTTCCCCAGAGAGCGAGTCGCTCACCTGCCCTTCTTGGCCAAGACCTTCTGGGACTCGGGGTAGTGGACGAGGATGTCGAACAGGTCTTTCTTTTCCAGAACAAACAGGTTCGCAAAGCCGTATGCTCTCACGTTAGCCGTCCGCCGGTTCCCTCCGTCTTTGGCAGATTGCAGCAAGCTGCAGGCAAGCGCACGCCATTAAAGCCTTACTGGATAAAAAACTGGGAAAGGGTACGCATGGAACTGAAATATTAATAAAACTGGTACAGCATTGGCTTGCTGAAAAGCAGCTTTATCTTATTTCACGATTTAAGATATTTGCACTAAGAACTAGACAAAGGAAAAAAACTTTGTAGAATTTAGTGTTTTTGTAGTGTGTTAAAATGAACTCAGTGGTCAGATATCCACCAGAAGCTACAAGAACTTTGGCTTTTCTCCACCAATTGTTAAAGGAAATGAATGATGTTGATCCTGGATTAAAGAAAAATCACAATTTCAAATTTGTGCACCACATCTTTTTGTTTTGTTTTTTGTTTTAAACTGCACTGAGGGTTTCTGTGTTCACTGCAAAAAACACAAATTATTGCCAAGTAATTTTGGTCTAGTTTCTTGCTTAAACTTGAAATAAGACAAAACTAAGGAGTAACTTTTCAGCAAGATGTAGAAGCTTGTTTTAAGTAAATATTTAATAACAAAAAAGTCCTAGTTCCATTGGAAGATTATTTCACTGAAAACATGGAAAAATGTCATGTTAAAAGTGAAATAATCTGCCAGTGAAGCTGGTAGTAATTAGTCAATATTAATAAGTTACTGACTTAAAACAAGCTCCTGTTTCTTGCTGAAAAGTTACTTCTAAGTTAGATCTATTTTACTTCAAGTGGAATATCTGACATTTTCACAGAAACTAAACCGAAATGACTTGGTAGGATTTTGTGTTTCTGCAGTGTCATCTATTCAGCCTGCTAAAGTGCCGATTCGCCTTTAGTTGTGTGTCGGCCGCGTCTTCCCAGACCTGATTTCTCCGAACACGCAGCCGGCCTTCAGCGTTACAAACACGATGCTGTTGTCGGGCCCTCCCACCACCTGCACCGCTCCGCTTTTGATGATGTACATCTCCTTCCCGATGTCACCCTGCGGAGGGGGGAAGCCGGGACGTCAGCCTGCGGCTCGGTCTTGACCTCATAGTTGCACCAGTCGCTCTCACCTTCCTCACCACAAAGTCTCCTGGCAGGTAGATGATGGACTTCAGCCTCAGTAGCATGTCCACCAACATCTGCTGGTCGCAGCCCTGAAAACAGACTCCAGTTAAGTTTATTAAAGCGACGTTATCATTTTCTGCTAACGGGCCATCCTGGCATTCGGTCTAAAACAGCCACATTCTTTAGTTTTCAGCCCGAATCACCTGAAAGAGCTGGATCTTTTGGAAGGTGGCCAGGTTTATATCCACAGCGATGGCGATTCGCATCACCAGAGGCATCTTGTCCAGAAGCTCCGTCTCATCTGGAGAGGTCGAGAGGTCAACAGCCTTCTGATTCTTACAGGCATGCAATGGTTCAGCATTTATTTTTCGTTGATTGTAGAAGTATGTTAGTTCATACCTAGCATTCCCTGAGAAGCCCAGGTGTAGTTGTACCAGGTGCGGACTCTGTTCTGGACCAGCTTCGGGATGGTGTAAGTGTTCATGTACTCGACGCAGCCGTCCATCGACGCGCGGAAGTACGCCTGAGCTGCCGTGGCCGCGCATATGACGTCTCTCATCTGGGGAAGAGACAGAAACTCCTTAATCGCTGGGTTCCCGTCTGTACGGATGTGGACACAAGCTTAGAAATAAATGTAGATCACGGAGGCTTCGGGAGGCCACGATGTCGGTTTCTATTGCACCTCTTACAATGTATGGTCCTCGTCCAGCCTTATTTATTCCAGACGTTTTAAAGGGGTTGATGATTCCCTTTGTCAGGGGTGAAGTAATTTTTCAGCGAATAAAAAGTGTTCCACCTGTCCAATCAGGCTGGAGAACACAAAGACGCCGACGAAGAAGTTGGTCATCTGAAAGGTGATCTCGAACAGAGTCACCGGCTCCGGCAGGCCCCCGATGTTGATGAGGCTGCGCACCGCAAAGTAATAACAGCGCAGGTACCTGACAGGAAACAGCAGAGAAATAACATCCGTCTGGCCTGTTGTGAACTCGCTTGTATTTCTGCAGCAGCTCAGTTGATTTAAGGTAACAAACCCTTAAAATCCGTCTTGTACTTGAGCTGAATTATTGATGCTGTTATTGCTGCTGAATTATTCACAGGAACGGGATATTCAAAGTGGAGGGTCGGCAGACATGGAGTTCATTCTAAGACGTGTTGCATAAAATCACTGGCAGTTTCTAAGAATCATCTGAATAAATCACAAAGGCTTTTTTTCAAAAGGATGGTGTAGATTAGTCTACAGCTTCTTTTGGACTTTTATGACGACTCACAGAACTATGAAATCTGCATATCAGGGGGTCATGACCTTAAGGCCAAGTGCAACTCATTTCTGCAGTATGAAAACGATCCAAAGATCAATGATAAAAGTATCATTCCAAACTTTAAGGGAAGGAGTCATTACATATTTTTCAGGCATTTTATTGCATAATCTTTTTTAATTTTTTTATTTATAAAAAAATAATGAGATGTTTCGCTTCAAGCCATCAGTACAGATAAAAAAGATTTTTAAAAAGTACATACGCTGTGCCTTTTCCATCGTAGACCCATGTAGTGGAAGCCAGACCCTGGTGCACTGAGGCCACGTAGTAAGCACAGGCGTTGAGATGGAGCATGTAGAGGAGGTAACCTGTGGTACGGGCCACTCTGCATCACACACACAGGCATGATGAGACAGAGGCTGACACAGCGAACTGGAATTGTGATGTTTAGCGTTGAGCATTTACCTCCAGATGTAAGCTTTGGCCATGATGCTCTCAAGTCGGTCACTGAACTCAAAGAAGGACTCGATCTGAAACAGACAGATGGAGGGACTCGTGTAAAGTCGAGCGGGAAAACAAAAATTCCACATTTCAGTCGAGATAACGTGACGGCCGCCGACCCTGACAAAGCGGTTGAATCTGTAAACGGAGGAGAAGCCGAAGTGTAGAGAGAGCAAGTCGAAGGGCACGATGCTGAACACGTCGGTCTGCAAGAAAGAACAAAAAAAGAATCTTTCGAAGTGACTGTGTCACTGTAAGAGGTTTGAACAATTCAACGTGGGACATGCAGATACGTTACCTTAAATCGATAAGATTTCCGATAATGCACTTTGGTCAGAGCTCTGTCTTTCTGAAAGCACAAAGGGTTGAAATGAATAATGGGAGGTGGAAACGTGTCTGGACGTTTAAAAATGGGAATGAAACCAGGACTAGTTTGGGTTTGGAAGGGTTTTAGAGCTTTTCTTAATTTTCCAAAGACAAAACGACAAAACAATTTAAGCAAAATAAATAAAAATTTGATTGTAAACAAAAACTAAATATCTGTCAAATCTTGTTCAAATTCGTCTGTTACGTAACTAAAGTTGAAAAACGGTGGGGAAAAAAAAACTTTCCTCTGGCGAAAACTGACTTGGTGTCACCGAATGACCCCTGGGTCGGGTGAACCTCCGGGACGGAGACGCTCTGGGACTTACAATAATGTCTCCGGCTTTGACAAACTGTAGTCGAGGCTGCCAGACCACCATGTCAATGACGTTGACGACGTCAGAGAGGACGTCGAGGAATATCCAGAATGGGTTGGCAGTGTCGTTGTGGTAAGGGAAGGCCAGCCGGGCGGGGCAGAACCACACGTTGTAGTTGTACGCCACGGCCACCACCGTCAACCAGGTGATATACCGACGATCTGGGGAGAGAAACGGAGGGAGACGTGAAGCATTTCGAGCCGGTGATGCGGTCGTTGCATTGCTGGCACTGTGTACCCGTAAAAGGATCAATGGTGCTCCCCAACACGGCGTCCATCTTCTCCTCGACTGGACGGAAGAGGACGTCGAAGCACGAGCAGCTGATGTCCGGCAGCATCTTTGCCTTCCTCCTGGCTTCCTCCGCCAGCCTCTCCTCCTCTGCTTTCTTCTCAGCCTCCAGCCGTTTCTCCTCGTCTTTCTTCTTTTTCTCCTCCGCCTTTCTGGCTGCCTCCTCGGCCTTCCTCCTGTCTTCTTCTTCTTTTGCTATGCGCTCCTCTTCCTTCTGTCTGGCGTAGTCCTCTTTTCTCAAAATGGGCGCTGAAAAGGCAAAGGGATCAAGGTGGGGAAAAACAAAAAAACAACCCAACTCTCTGGAGTTTCTGTGTTACCAACTTGACCCTGATTATTCCCACACTTACTAACAGGAGGAGTGATTTCTGGAGATGTAGCATAAGGGTCTATTGCCTTCCCTTTGAGGATTTCAGTTCGTTCTCTTAAACTCCTTATGGCACTCCTCAGGACGTCATCTGCATATCTGGAGTAGACCACTGGGGGTTCGTCTCTGAAAACAGGAAGCAAAAAAAAAACAAACAACAACAACAACAAAAGAAAGAAAATCAGCTGAAAGCTGCTGGTTGAGATTTGTTAAATAACATTCTAATGTGAGGGTTTGACGTTGTGCATTAATATTCCTAGCACCCAGCATTAATATTACTCGCATCATAAAACTCAAACTCAGAGACTTTGTTCATTTTTCCATATGCAAGGAGACCAAAATGCTCTATATTGAATTGGAAAACCTAAAATTTATGATTTTTTAAAAACTTTTATATGAATGTCTTATAATACATATTTATGTTTCTGAGAACATTGATGGCAAAAAAGAAAAAGATTTTGTTTCAAATCAGTGGTAGCTTCCACTGATTTGAAGCTACCAAATAATCAATTAATTGAAAAAGAAAACAAGAACGCAGTCCGAGATCATCCTCGGTCCCAAACGCTGCACTAAGCTGGTAATCTCCTTTTCCTGCTTTAGGGGTCACGCTGCAGGTCGCAGGTGGATCAGGGTTTGTGATTCTGCTACACAGACCCACAGAAACTGTTTGGGTTTCCACGTTTGGTTGTATGCGACTGAATGCAACTGTACAACAATTTACAACCGATGTCATGTTAAGACATTTTAAAAGGCAAACACATTAAATTCATATCCAATTATAATATGAAAGACACCAATTGTGTATAGACTGAATTTAAATGCATCCAGTTCACTCCGTTACAATTAGGCCTTATTGATAGTTTTAGCAATTTAAAATACAGTTTTCAAGCAAAATGCCACATGTTATGGCATTTTGTCACCACTTGAGGGCAGACTCAGAAATATTTCACTCACTCTAACCTCACTCACCCTTTCATCATGCCCTACTTGAAAGCTTGGGATTGTTACTTTAATTCCACACTGATCACTATGCACAATCATTCACTTTCCACAGATTAAATAAATAGGACAATAATCTTGTTCTAAACTCAAGTAGAAGTGATTCTGCAGCATTGAAGACCGAAGTTGCTGAATCTTCTCAAGGGTTTTAGCCATTACACACACCGAGGCCCCAATAATGCTGCAGTCTTTGTGTGTCGAATGCGCTGCTTATTTGCCACAATAGTGTAGAGATAAAAATAGGTGGAGCAGTGCTGGAGCTAATTTAGTGAACTCATGTAGAGGGATTAAACCTTGGCCAAGGCTTTTTATACCGTGGCTGATCACTGATTCAGTTGGCTGGCGATCACCTGCGGTACGATCTGGAAGCGTCGGTCTTACGCGGTACAGGATTTACTTTGTCTTTCTTTGCTTTGGCTTCTTTCTGCCTGGGGGTTATTCTTAGATTTTTATTTTCAGGGACTTTATCTTTGACTTGTCCACAACTTTTACTTTCCAGAACCTTAGACTTTAGGTCAAAGGAAATTCTTCTTGTCAATACAAGTTTCTCTTAGATTAGTGCTGTGAACAGATGCTTTCGTCGCATTTCTAACCTTCTGAAAAGGAACGCTAGGATCTTTATGGTTTTGCAGAAGGACATATCCAGAAAGGTTCTTTTATTATTATATTGTCCGAGTTTGTAGACATAAGAATCTACAAACTAGATTTTCCTACTTTGCATTTCTTTGAATTCATGGAAACATTTACCATCGAAGTTTCACTCTTTTACATCGGCTGATGTAAAATGCAGTTATCAAACCAAACACTAAATGAAGGGAGATCCCTTCCAAACATGAATCCAAACAAATAACACACATTACCTAAAAACTTCAGATTGACCAATTCTGAAATGTATAGTATCCTGTTTCTTAAGCTGATTCTAACTCAAACTGATTGAGGTTCCCAGCATGCATCACGTTGTCCACACTCTTACCCTTCAGCACCTTCTGGGTTAACAGGAGCAGCAGGAGCTGGAGAGGGAGGAACTGGAGCAGGACCTGGGGGGAAAAAAAAAGAGTTAAGAAAAACTTTCAAGTCGGTTTGAAGACTTGAGGCTTTAAAAATGTGAGGCAGAGAAAACGTAAGTGTGTTCTTAAGCTTTCTTAAAAACACTATTAATAGGTAAATATGTACTTGAATAGGTAAATGTAACGTAAATATCACAGACTGTCAAGATCACACAGCCAATTTAACTCCTGAGTCTTAAATATTATCAGTGCTGCATCCATACAACGGAGCCTGTGTCGTTTGGATTTCTTTAAGACCTCAAAAGATAAATTCAGCACACTTTCAATACATGTTTTAATAGATTGCCTTTTGGCCAGTGCAAAACTTTGATACGAGGGCTCAGGCAAAACAGCAAGTGCTGTGGGTTTGGTGCCAGAAAATGACACTGAACACACATCCATCAGTCCAACTTGCTAAGTGTGACCTTTAATGCTGTGCCAAGTGGCTCTGCGAGAGTGAGAAGATGAAGAATATGAACAGATCGCGCAAGTTAGTAAAATAAAACACAACTTCTCACCAGTTGTCTGTTCTTCCTTCTTGGGCTCATTCTCCTCTCTCTGCTCATTTGTTTGCTCCTCTTGTTTCTCTCCATGCTTCTCCTCCTCCTGCTTTTCACTCGTCGTCTTTGGCTCCTCCACTTTTTCATCTTTCTTTTCTGTTAACTTTTCCTCCTGCAATTTGTCAAAACAAGAGAAATCTGTCAGACGTTCCTCTCGGATCAATGAAACTTACTCAGACGTCCCCCAAAATTACGGCAATTCCGTCAGGAGGTTTCAATATAAGGAAGGACAGCCAAAACATCTGACCCAACAGCTTAGAGCAATTCTACGAATTGCTAAGGAAATGTTTTTAAATGTCTGAATTTGAAAGGAAAAATTCTCTTTCATTATTCTAGCACAAGACAAATCATTTTAGTAATTTAAACTAAACTGAGAAAGTTGAGGCTGCAAAATCCTTATTTCTCAAAGTTAGAGTGAGGAAAAAACAGTTATATAGAATGAACAAATCTGATTCAACGAGCAGAAAACTCAATGCTGTGGCCAGAAATTGAGTGTAATCCCATAATTATTATTATTACACAGGCAAAAATGTGAGTAAAAACTAGAACAGGAGCTCTTCCCCACATCAGTGCCAAGCTGCTTTTACTGATCATCTGGTGTACCGTCCAGCATCCAGTTCACTTTTTGAAATAGGACATAAACACAAACGAGGCCTTACCTTGGCTGGTGGAACTGGTGGGGCTGGTGGAGCTGGTGGGGCTGGTGAGGTCGGTGGGGTGGGTGCAGGGGCAGGCGGAGGCTCAGGAGCGCCCAGAAACCTCCTCAACCTGCTGAACATGCTGGAGGGATTTTCTGCGGGCTCTTCTGCCCACAGGAACCCGGTGGACTGCCGCGTCGGACCTACACAACACGCCGAGGCTTTTAAATTTCTTTGAATCAGTAATTCCCTCTGGGCACTCCCCCTTGTCTGTCTGGGCCAGCACAAGATGAACTATCACATCCGCCAGTCCCTGCCAGGCGGGATCAACGTTTCTCATGCCGTGCGTTTTCTCATTTTTTTGTTATTCCTTTTTAAGGTTAGGATGTGGAAGGAAACATATAGGGTGAGAAAATATGGGGTAAATTTCACTCTTTTGAGTGGCTCATGAGGATGCAGAAACCAAGCAATTGATGAGCCTTTACAATGTCTGTCTGTCTGTCTAACGGGATTAGATCGGATCTGCACCAGAGCTTCTGCTGCGCGAACTGGAGGCTGTGGGACAAAATCCACAGACACGAGAAAACAAAACAGAGCTGCTGTTACATCCATCAGTCATTTATTAAGGTAAATATGAAAGATTAAATCAGTCACACAAAGTAATAATAATAACATAATTGTGTAAAAAGAAAATAAACGCAACAGAAGTGGACAATAAAGCCATAAAAAGACAAATACATTCAGTGTAAAATGAAACAAGCACCCTGCATTGCCCACCTTTAGAATTAGTTCATGAAGCCATTTATATATATATATATATATATATATATATATATATATATATATATATATATATATATATATATATATATATATATATATATATATATATATATATATATATATAGGCCATATGGCTCACCACCCAGGGCACCACTTCATCTAGGGGTGGCAAGAGTGCTTTACAAATTGAGCAAAAGCTAAGTTTCTGTTTCTTATCAGCTTGCATTGCAACACTAAAAACAATGCAAGAAACAACAATGGCAGCAAAACCATTAGAAGGTGGCAGCGGGTTTCAAGATTCACAACGTAACATTTAATCAAGAACCACAGCTGTTTCCAACACTTCCGATGCCAGTGACTTTATTAACAAATTCACACATGCGTGCGCAGCGCATGATTTATATCACATTGACATAAAACACTTGATATAAAACAATCAAAAGAGCATGAAATTAAGCTGTACCTTTGCTCCCAAAATGGAGTAATCAACAAAAATACACAGTTCAGCTGAGTCCTCAATTTTGCTCAGCGTTCTGTTGAGGGAAACAAAACAAAGTAGTTTAAAAGTGTTGCAATGATTTATATCATGTTTCTTAAGCGGCGTCGACTTACCCTTAATTGGCTAAACATCTTTTTATTAAAGTTTCCTCCGAAAGCTCGCAGCAGTTTGGGCGTCGGCGGCTTGGGGCCGAACAGCGCCAGTCCTTTCTTCTTCTCCTCCTCCACTTTTGCTGCCGCAGGGCCCTTCGCCTTCATTAGTTTCCTACACGTAGATGCACAAAAACGAGAACAAATAACTGAAGTCTTCTGCTGAAGCTCCTGTATTTTCTCCACTTGTGACTTTGTAACGGCTTCAGACTGAGAAAAAGTCAAGGACCCTGCCTCTCATCTGTACGTTTTTTCACAGTACTGTTTACTCCTGTGTGTGTCATTTTGACTGATTGTAATTTTGATTTGAGTAATTTCACTATAAGTGGAAAATAAATGCATATGACCTCTTAATTTAAATGAAATGCTGCAGTAGGAGGCTATGCAGTACACAATCCTTTCACGCCAGAATCAGAACAGCTCAAGCGCCTGAAGTCAATGTGATATTCAAGGATGAACCTTTTAATCAGGTCCTGTACTCACTTCCCTTTCCTGGCCAACACCTTCTGAGACTCTGGGTAGTGGATGAGAATGTCAAACAGGTCCTTCTTCTCCAGAACAAAAAGGTTGGCGAAGCCATAAGCTTTGACGTTGGCCGTTCGCCTGTTCCCTCCGTCCTTAGAAGACTGCAACAAACTACAGAAACAGTAGATTTTTCACAATATGCAGAGCTTTCATGGTGCATTTTTCTTCCAAAGGAAGCTGCGTGTACAACCCGTGACTCGTTTCATCTGTGTGAATGGACCTGATTTCTCCAAACACGCAGCCGGCCTTCAGCGTTACAAACACGATGCTGTTGTCGGGCCCTCCCACCACCTGCACCGCTCCGCTTTTGATGATGTACATCTCCTTCCCGATGTCACCCTGCGGAGAGACAAAAACCACTGACACAAAAGACAGTCTGCACAGCAACCTCCACACGTATTGGCACCCTTGTTCAAGAATACCTCAATCCTGTCAAAAATCTGTCAGATAATGCAGTTGACATATTCTATGATTTATTTTCTTTTTGAGGTTTCTTCTAACTTCAGAGATCCTTTTGGTGATGGAAAATGTCTCTGGCACATGTAGCCAATCAACTTTTCTATAAGGTAATGGAGGGGGAAAAAAAGGCACTTTTAGTTTTTAACATGGGACCTGTGACCTCTGTTCACCTGGGGGTCACACAGGTGAACTGCCACTGCCACTTCACAAAAACTCCCCACAATCCTTTGCTGCATCACTGTCACATGACCAATTACCCCCAGAAATAAACAAGATTGAAATGCATATCAGCTTTTAATATGGACACGATTTTAAATATTGGACCAAAACCAATATGTTTAAAAGTGACTAATATTGTTTGATGCCAATTTTGGTGCCGATATATAGTGCATTCCTAAATCTTTGTATTGTTCTGACATTAATAATACAATTTTCTGTAAACATTGATGATACAATACTCTCCAGCTTGAGATTAAGTCGAGTCTGCGAAGGTTAAAAGTGACTCCGATTCTCATAAGTGAGACGTCTGGTATTAGACCGGCGATCTGCTCACTGTGCAAACCACTTCATAACAAATACCAATTTCTCTTAGTCGTTCTTCAAAATGGTAAAAACAAAGGAAGTACACCATTTGGGAAAGGCAAATGTTCATAAGGAAGGACTTTATTTCAGGTTTTGCAAATACCATAAATTAAGTATGAAATGTGTTTGTTTCTTCTCCGCATCTTTTTTTGGGCACCAACAGATGTTGCGGATGCCTTATCCAAATAATCTCATGGTACGTCAGAAGGAAAAGGACACAAACTCACTTTTTTCACCACAAAGTCTCCTGGCAGGTAGATGATGGACTTCAGCCTCAGCAGCATGTCCACCAACATCTGCTGGTCGCAGCCCTGTGGGAGCAACGGGAGTTTTTTTTTTTAGCATACCGGTCTTCTGATCACATTGGTGGGACGATTTCACCTGCCTGTACCTTGAAAAGATCAATCTTCTGAAACGTCGCCAGGTTGATGTCCACAGCAATGGCGGTTCTCATTACGAGAGGCATCTTATCCAGCAGTTCAGACTCATCTGCACATCAGCACAAAGCGGGAGAGGTCAGGAGAAAAAGGCCAACTCCCAAACCCCCAAATGATCATTCAGCCAGCCTTCACTGACCCAGCATGCCCTGAGCGTCCCAAGTGTAGGTGTACCAGGTGCGCACCCTGTTCTGCACCACAGGGGGAATGTTGTTGGTCACCATGTAAGCCACTGTGTTGTCCATGGAGCTTCGAAAGTAGGTCTGTCCTGCTGTGGCCGCGCCGATCACGTCTCTCATCTAAAGCAACGTGATAAAAACTGTTAAATAAACAGAGGACAACTGACTGTTGATTAAATGAAAAGCTATGGTGCTGGGCAGAAGTAAACATATTCTTTGAACCTTTCCATATTTGGTCATATTACAGCCACAGACTTTAATTTTAAGACCAAAAAAACACAAAGTCGTGTGAAATTTTAAGAGGAAGTTAAAGAATATCTGGCATTTTTACAAAGGAAAACCTTTTAAAATGCATTTGTGCATTTGTATTCATCCCCCTTTATTCTGGTACCACAAAATGAATGTATTCCAGTCAATCACCTTCAGAAGTCACCAAATTAGTGACTACACTCCAACATACAAGAATATGAAGACAGAGGAAATTCAAATTGGCAATATCCCAAAACTTGAAGGTATCAGAGATTAAATATTGATCCCTGATCTATAAAGAGTGATCCAGTCAACAGAGCTCACACCAACTGATAATCTGTGGCAAGGCTTGAAATTCTTGCTCACGGATGTTCTCCGTCCAGTCCGACTACGTTTGAGACATTTTGGAAAGAAGAACAAAAGAGACTCGCCCCAAAAAACCCAAAAACGTTCATTGTGATTGATGGACACTGTAGAGGAGGCTGCATACAAATGCTCAAGATGCTTTCCAAATTTTCTTGCCCTTATTGGTTTTGACGACACAGTAAATTGACATGCAGTAAATAGCCTGAGACTTGGAATCAAACCCACGTCAACTGAGTGGAGGACGATGGCCTCGGCACAAGGTGCTCTACAAACTTGGCCACCGGATGCCTCAGATTTTCTCCTATAGCAATTTGTATAATGTACCTACCACTTTACAATCATCGGTCTACTACGTAAAATACCAGTAAAAGTCATCAAAGCTTGTAGCTGTAAAGTGGAAGAGAGTTCAAGAGATACATACTTTTGCTAGATGCTGTACCCACAGTCAAGACTCTAAAGGGAATCAGGAAAAAGAAAATCCAATAGTGTGAAGGATCACAGGGATGTTGGGTGTCTAGTGAGATTGACAATAACTCCATTCAGCTATGAAGCTAATAAAAGACGTTGATAGAAGTGTCAGTGTCTTAAGTTAGGAGACGCTAATTTTAGGACACATACCGAGGAGAGGTGCTTGGTCTATCACCTACGCTACGGACAATTTGGTCTCTGCGTTACCTGTCCAATCAAACTGGAGAACACAAAGACGCCTATGAAAAAGTTAGTCATCTGAAAGGTAATTTCAAAGACTGTGTGAGGCTCGTTTAGACCCCCGATGTTGATCAGACTGCGGACGGCAAAGTAGTAGCAGCGCAGGTACCTGTGGAGGAGGTGAGGCGATGTTAGAGGGACGTTCACAAACTACGCTGAGACACTCGATTGGATGTCATGAAAAAATGCGAGGGGTAAAGATGTATTGTTCTTTTGGAAAATATTCAATTCTTTTCCCCGTATAATTCCCATGAGGTCTTGCTGCGTTTTCTTTTTGGTGCATTTTCTTTCACGATCCAACATAGACACCAAACAAAAGCCAAAACATTGCAGGCCACGAGATAGATGCTACCTGGCCAAGAATGACGGACATAAAGAACGCCCCGAAGAGGTAGTTCACCATCTGAAAGATCTGTCCAAACATGGTGTCTGGAAATGGCAGCTCAGCAATCATCAGAAGGGACTTCTCCGCATAGAAGAAGCAGCTGAGGTAACTCCATCAGCAGCACAAACAAACAGCAAAACTTTCAGGTTTGGGGTTTCTGTCAATTTTTTTGGGACAAACTTTGTCACATAGCAGTCAAACATGATAGTGACAAAACATTCTGATATTTCTGGAGTACCATCATAGCCGGTGAAACTGACAAATCTGTCAGCAGTTCAGTTTTTATCAGAAATAGTAATAATAATAAAAAAAATGCATTTGGCCTTCTGAGTCCAAACAAACACACGAATATGTAAATAACTTGATGCAACCACCTGCAGTTAAAAGCAAGTTTGTTTAAAAAGGCTTTTACTGAAATGTTGGGGTGATAAATGGAAAAAGAAAATTAGAGGGTTCAATTGTAAAGTTCGTATTTAATATTCAGCTAAGGCTTACCAATGACATGCTTCTTTCCCCTTATCAAACAGTATATCTTTAGTAACCATGAAACACACCATAAAAATTTTACAACACATCACCAAATGGGAAGCTTACATTTTGTCAGAGTTTTTGTGTATTCAGTGATATAAATGGTAGTGTACTTACGCGCTGCCCAGACCAGAATAGACCCATTTTGTTCCACCGATGCCCTGGTACTCCGAGGCCACATAGTAGAAGCAAGCGTTCAGGTGGAGCATAAAGAGGAGATACCCAATGGTGCGAATCACTCTTAAAAGGAATAATAGCAACAGTTTAAACGTTAAAAGTTTGCAGCTTGAAATTCATGGGACTTCTGGTGCATGTCTTGACAGGTTTCTTTAAAAATGAGCTGCGTCGGGAAATAACCTTGATCCGAGGCAAAGCTTTCTGAGAAGACCCTCAGTTCATTGTTGGAATAGTTTAAAAGATGAACGTCATCAGCAGTAAGAACTCGTATGTTTTTTCCCCCCACCAAACTAATTTTATGGAACTCACCTCCAGATGTACGCCTTCGCCAAGATGCTCTCCAGACGGTCGCTGAACTCAAAAAATGTATCTATCTTGAGAATAAGTACAGGAGGATGTAAGTCGGGAGGAAACGCAATTCACTGTCAGCACATCACTAAATTTACCTTCAGTAAGCGGTTGATTCTGAAACCAGATTTGAATCCGAACTGCATGTACAACAAGTCGAATGGCAGGAGAGAAACCACGTCGGCCTGTTGGCGGGAAACGGACGACATTTGAGGTCGAAACGACTTGAAAGAAATTTACAGAGGCTCTAAAAAGCTTTCCACAAGCCCGACTTTCTGGGGATGCTGATGAGAAACATTTGGACACACAACTGCTCAGTCCCCTTTACAGTGTTTGGAGGTACTCTGAGGTTTCAGTTGATGTGTACAATATGTCCCATTAGATATGAAAATGCTTTAAATGATTTCAAGGGTGTGTATACTTCTAAGATCTCCTATGAGTTTAAACATGCATGAATCTGAGGTGAAGTACCAGTAATCTCTCAGATTCCCTGTAGTGCTTGGTTGTCAAGACTCGGTCTTTCTAAAAGAGAGACAAAAAATAATTTGGCTTGTTACACTTTTAGCCACTTTCTGAGACGTTTTCTTGGCGCCACACTCACTATGATGTCTCCTCCTTTGACAAACTGTTTGCGAGGCTGAAACAACATGGAATCCAGGAGGTAAATGACGTCCGCCAGGACGTCCATGGTGAACCAAATGGGGTTGGCGATCTCGTTGTGGTACGGGAAGCACATTCTGGCGGTGATGAACCATATGTTGTAGTTGATGGCCACAGTGACCAGGCTGAGCCACGCGATGTAGCGACGGTCCGTGAAGGGGTCGATGGTGGGACCCAGGATGGAGTCCATCTGGTTCACCAGGGGGTTCATCACGAAGTCCACCGACGCCCAGTAAGCTGCAATCAACCTTGTCTTTAGGGGCACCTTCACCTTCTTCTCCTCTTCTTTCCTTTTCTCCTCCTCCTCTTTCTTCTTCTGCTCAGCTTCCTTCTTCTTCTTCTCCTGCTCTTCTTTCTTCTTCTTATCCGCCTCCTCCTTCTTTATCCTGTCCTCCTCTGCCTGCCTCGCCCTTTCCTCCATCACTCTGGCGTATTCATCTTTAAGCAGCAGAGGCGCTGAAAGGACAACAGGTCAGGTGAGATGACCTAACTTTCCTATTTTTGTCCTGACTGAGCAGTCACAGGTTAGCGTCTTCAATACGAATGTGTCACAGCTGAGCAAAGAGACGATGAATGCAGTTGTACTCACTGACAGGAGGGGTTATCTCGGGGGACGACGCATACTGATCAACCACTTTCTCCTTGTATAAGTTCAGTCTCTCCTTCATCCGTTGGGCTACCTTTCTGAGCTGCTCATCCGAATATTTGTTGATGACAATTGGCGGAGGAGGGGCCTCATCTTGTCTAGAGAAAACAAACAACAACAAAACAACAACAACCGAGTTTGTTGGATTGGATAAGAAATAAAAATAAAAAGTCATTCCCAGACATGTCATCATTTTAACTAACTTTTTACTGTGTTTTTTGTGAATGTTTGTTCATGTTTGTTAAATGTTTGTTCATTCTTGATTGTATGTTTATAATGTCTTTATGTTGTTTGGGTCTCATTGTCTAGGACTACAGATGGAAATTAGCAATTATGCTATAATCTGGCTCATTTACAGTCTATACAATGATTGTTTATTAATGTGCACTAAGATTAAAGATTAAATAAGATAACAGTAAAATTAGCAAATACACATAAATAAGAAAATTAATTTTGAGATTTAACAATAAAAACAATGCATTTTACAGTGAAAAGCATAACACAATATTGTATAGATTTAATATTTTATATACAAGAATATTATGAATATTATTCATAAAATTATTATGAATGAATAAAATTATTCATTCACAATAAATATTATTAATTATTACGAACATCATTATTATTATTCATATTATTCTTATTATTATATTCATATAATAATAATATATTATATTCATATAATAATATATTATATTCATATAATAATAATATCATTATATTTCAATAATATAATGATATTATACAAACAGTAATAATAATATTCAAATAATGTTCAAATCACGCCCTCTTGTGGATATAATCAGTAATACATCAGACTGAAGACTGCACTTATGTGTGTGTGCAAGGTTTTTTTTTTTTTTTTTGCAACAAACTTGACAATTTATCAAGGGAGCCAATTATATTTTCACAGGTTCAGGTCGGTTTAGATATTTCTTCCCTGGCCTCATAAATCAAATCATTACATAAAACCTGCATTTTATATTTACTGAAATTATTTATTTACACTCTCCTTTTTTTTTTGAAGGTCAAACTTTTCAGTGTCACAAAAAAATATATATGTATAGAGGAAGCAAGTGCTTTTCGGAACAATTACCAGCTCACTCAGCAGCAGCACAGGTCACCAGTAGGGGGCGCATCCTCATGTCACCTGTGAGGACATGAGGATGCTCAGTCCACACCTCCATCACACGGGTCTCATTCTCTCCCTTCTACCTCTTACATTCATGGTGTTTTGTCTCTGTAGCTGAGAAGATTAGCAGCTGCTGCTTCCCGTTAGCCACATGTCTTTCATGGCTGAGCTTCTTATGCCTGAAGAGCTGAAAAGCCCATAATCCACTCTCAGGTCATTGCTCTGTTAATATACACGTTGAAACCAAGGGATAAAGATCTCAGATACTCTGTTTACCTCTCACAGCTTTCTCCGCCTCTCTCTCCCTGCAACTTATCGGGCCGCCTGATTAAATTGTGATTAATTAGATACTGGGTTTGCTGTGTCTGCCTACGTAAAATGTGCTTCGACATACTAAATCTCCTCTGCTTAGTTGCTCCTTAGATTTAATGAATCTCCCCTGAAATGGATCATTTGAGTGTAGGCGGTGTTAGTTTAGTTGCTGGGTGCGGGACTCACCCTTCAGGTTTCGCCTGCTCAGGGTTTGCAGGTGTGGCTGCCGGAGCTGGAGCCGGAGCCGGGGCCGATGCCGGGGCTGGAGCCGGTGCTGGGGCCGGAGTCGGGGCCGATGCCGGGGCTGGAGCTGGTGCTGGGGCCGGAGCCGGGACTGGAGCTGGGGCCGATGCCGGTGCAGCAGTTGGTTCTGGGGCAGGTCCTGGAGCCGGTGCTGGGGCTGGTTCAGATGCAGGTGCAGGTGCAGGTGCAGGGGCTGGAGATGCAACATGCAAAAATATAGGATTCCTCTAAATAAAATGCACTTGTGGAAAACACATGTAACTTTTCTAATTCCTTTCATCCCACTATCGTCAATATTACATAGATCGATTATTTCTAAAGATTTATCATCCGGCTGTCTATAGTGCCAAATAAATAAATAAATATATTGTTTCCCCTTTAAAGAATTCTGTTATTGCTTTCTGGTCGCAACGAAAAATGCAAAAAATAATTTGAAAAGAGGACAAAAGAGAAGTAAACAAAGGAGAAGGAGGAAAAAAGAAGAAGAAGAAGAAGAAGAAGAAGTGTCCCTCACTGAAAATTTAGTTAGAAGAACAGGTGCGGATTTAAGCAAAACAACAAGATTAACAACAGTAATGATATTATACTGTACAAGATTGTAACATGAAAAAGAAATTAAGCAGTTTTCAGAAATCAAGATATTGTACTCATGACCCAAAGGATGTGCAGCTGAATAGGATGACTTTTTATTTTAAATGTGCATTTAAATAAATAGTGGAAACAGTTTCCAAACTGTGATTTCGTTTATTGAGTGAACACAGCCATCCGTACTAACTTGGCCTTGTGTGAAGTAGGAAATGGCTTCAAATTCTCAACAACGATTGTATCACTCTTGGCGGTAACGTCTACTATCAATAAGTCTTTTGCATCGCTGTGGGGGATGTTTTTTCAGCCACGTTGGAAAGCTTTCCTTATTTTTTATTTATTCTTTTCTTGGCATGAACAGCTGGCCTACAGCCTGGGCATCAAATCTTCGTCTGATTTAACAATTTATACCATTTGTTGATGTTAAAATACTCATACCAAAAACAAACGTAGAGTTGAAAATAAATTTTACATGTATATATTTATTTTTTTTAAGCTTGCAGAAGGTAATTGGGAGTACCCAGCAAAAACCTGGGCGTGTTTGGAGCGAATGCAGAATACCCCCTAACATGTAAACCCTCCATCACCATGACCAGTTCGAGGAACTGAGTGCTGCTCACGGGAAACCAATGCATTCACTTGTTTCGCAAATCGTGAACTCCACAACTCGCTATCTCGATTGTGAATTCACAGATACTCCTAACGCGACATGCGACTCGATCTGTGGTGCGCAGAGTTTACACTAGAAACAGGATGCACAGGACGGACGAGCGAGCAAATCACACACGAAATCCGCAGCCTGCCATCTTGAATCGGTCCCAATGAGTTTATTTTTCAAGCTGTCAGTTGCACCTGGAGTATTGCAGACGGCAATACAGGATTTCTGGTAAACCTAGTAGAAAAATCGGTTTATCAAAGTATCATTTTTTATGAGAATAATGATATCTTTCATGCTGTTTCAGTCAGATGCTTCTGAGTCAGCACCGGCGAAGGTTATGGCAGTGTTGCGTCAGCCTAACCTTATTTGACTTTGAGTCATTAGGTGCTTATACATCAAAGTGAGAAAAAAGAAACAAAAAAAAAAAAATCATGTGGGGTACCTCAGGGCTTCCTTCTCATGCCTTTTATATTTCCCGCTCGACATTTATACGCTGATCTTTTAGAGTGCAATGTACCACAATGTCTTCTACAATATAGTCAGTGACAAAATACGTTCCTGTAATTCTGTGTTGCCACTTGAACGAATGAGTGAGAATTTCTACAAACTCAATGCAGAATAGAGAGACAGAGCGAAGTTTCACCCCCAGTGTCAGGACACAGTAGAGTCACAAGCTTACCCTGCGGTTGGTCCTCTTTCTTTGCTTCATTTTCCTTCTCGTTTGGCTTCTCCTCCTACATGACAAATCATCATTGTCCACAGATTCAGACGCTTGGTTTTACTTGTCAAACCAGACGGCATCAGATAAACATTTGGTATTATTATTTTTGAAAGAAGAAGAAGAACAAATAAAACCCCAAAGTACCACATTAGGAAATTATTCTATTGGCTAGAAGTCAATAAAAAGAGAACTTGTCTTCAGGTTGAACTTGTTGGCTTTGACTTCATTCAAAATCTAAGTTAGAATAGTCAGAAATATTTGAGCACATCGATGGAAGAGAGGATAGAAAGTCAAAGTCGGAAAAACATTTGGAAAGTTTGGAAAAACATTAAGTGGATCTGCGTGACATGCGGAATGAGACGCGCGTTTCTTTTAATTTTTCCGTGTCTTGGATGGATCCGACTACAAAAACATCTCTTATCTCTCATAAAGCAGAGACTTTAAAGGCATATTTACAAGGTGTCTTACCTTGGCTGGTGTAGGAGCTGGTGGAGTTGATGCTTTCGTGGTCCCAGGATCAGCTGGAACTTGCGGGCCTGAGAAGAGGCCCTTAAACTTGGCAAACATATTTTCGAAGATGCGGAGATCGGTGCATCCGTTGGACTGCGCTCCCCTTTGCTGATGCCTGTGGAGCTAACCGGTCCCCTCTGCTCGCCGTCCTCTGCAGAGCGACGTATCCTCATGAACTGAGCTGGCCCTTGATGGCATTACTGCTTTTAGCCCCACTAATGCTCTCGCACAGAGAATAGTCCGCGCTATTGCCCCTGACATGTAAACCCATCGCTATCTCATTTGGAATGCAAATAGGCTTATGGGTGACCACGAAAGCAGGGAGGGTGGCTGCAGCAGAGCTGGAAGAAATAAGGGCACCCTGTCTGGAGTGGGACGGGTTCAAACTCATCGATGGGAGGATGGATGGAGTTACACCCTGGAAGAAAACCTGTTGGAGGTTCCCGAAGTCTTGAATCTCGTTCGGGGGTTCACATCACCAAGACCATAAGTGAAATAGACAATGAAATGAGCTCATTTATCATTTCACAGACTTATGTGCACTTGGCAAAAGGAAGTAGCCAAGTTCCAACAATGCCCATCTCTACTGTGATTTGTTGCTGGATATGTTTTCTTGTTTCTATTTTTTTTTTGTCAGCAGTTTAGCTGTTTGCATGTTTGTTCCAGCGCTGTTTTCATCTGAGATTTGGTTTTCTAATTTAATTTAGTTTCATTTTCATGTATTTCTTTGGTTCAAAAGTCTCGACTATTTATGCAACGTCCGTTGAATTTGGTAAAGAAGAAGACAGAAGAAGAAAGGAACACGAGGACCAAGAAGCAGAACATTCGCTTCTTTACCTTCTTGTTGTCTATTGTATCAAAGAAAATAGTCATTAGATCCTCTTGCATTGCCTTGAATAATCTAATTAAAGCTTTGGTGTGGGGTTAAGCCTTTGACACGGCGGTGGTAGAAGCTCCAGGTTCATGTCGGTCAGCCTGCTGACAACTTTTGACTCTCAGGATCACAACATGCTAACCAACCAAAGGACCGCTTCTTTCTTAGATCGTTAATGAGGACAAAGCAACGCAATTTTGGCAAAATGAACTTGAACTTTTTTTTTCCTTTTCGAAATGGAATTAACATGCACTCAGATAATGCATGGATAAAAACAGGTTCTGGTTGCAGAGAAAAAGACCCGAAAAGGTGGAAAAATGATACTCTCTCTTCAGATGTAAACTCAGTTCATCTGAACTTCATCTTATAATCTCAGACCAGATTGTCAGATTACAAACAGTAGATGGCAGATTTCTTTTGCATGGCGGACACAACAAACCTTTATGCTACCGAAGTGGTCATATGACTTAATGTAGGAAGACGTACTTCGACTAAATATGGGAATGTTCATACAAAAATTAAGATCTTCATGCATGATGAAATCAAAATAAAATATGCATAAACTTTTTCTATATTGATTTAGATTTTGTAAATTGTGCATTCTTGTTTGTCTGGGTGGATCAAATGTTAGATTTATCGCATATTAACCGTTCGGAAAAAATAAATATATGTGAATCTACAGGATAAGCATTTATGGCAAAGTTTGTTCTGAATCTTGTTTTATCCAAGTCATGTCTGTTTTTCAATATTTCAATCACACTGCTTTGTTACAAAACTCAAAAAGGGATTTTAACATTCGCAGTAATGTCAAATTATCAACCATTGACTCTATATTGCTCATACATTTACTTAAACCCCGCCTTAAAACAAATAAATTAAAAGATAAAACCTTCATTTATCAGAAGCTTTTAGTGTTTGATTTATGAACAAATTACATATTTTTGCTTTATTGTTCTTTGGTTTATATTGTTGCCATGATTTGATCACACTAATTAAATCAAAAATCTCTAAGCAAAGTGATGCTCAAAACAAAACAAAAAAAGAGAATAAAAATCAAAAGTTGTTCATATGTAGCAACATATAAGTTTCTAAAGTTTACCTGAATTTTGTCACTTTAAAAACGTCAGCATGTAATGTAGCAGGTGTTAATGGATCCAATTGCTTCCAGTTCAGTGCGGCGTGTTGCGTTTTCCTGGGCCGCCACACGGGGGCGGTAAATCCTTATAAATTACACCTCTCTTTTTTCCCCCTCCTTCCTGCAGCAAATCGTGAAACCGACTTCAGCAGGACCAGCCAGATGTCACTGAGTATTTCAGCGAGAGACTCCAGCCAGCGTGACTTATGAGCCTTTTAAAGACACCGACATCTGGTGTCACGTCAAAACTCGTCCCAGGGAAACAGAAAGCAACTCAAATTGTTTAATCCCGAAAGCCGCAGACCGTGTGTTCATCATCCGAGAGTTTTCCTGGCAACCAGACATGGTTGATAAATGACTATCAAAAGGTTGCTGTGGTTATCTTCAGATGGCAACATTAAACAGTGGTTGGCTCAAACTGACTTTTTTTTTTGTTGGTCGTGACGTCACCCGTCCCTAATGGCAGATTGAGCTTTAAACGGCATTGAAGACGCCATTATATTTGATTCACATATTGGTCTGGGGGGTTCAAAAACCTACAACTCAGACGTCAGGAGAACGAGAAGCAACCCTTTAATCGACATCCCATCTGTGAACATGTGTTTCAGCTGTTAGCTAAAGGAGGATAAAATGAAGTAACACCCCAGGCTGCAGCTGCGGTGCATTTATTTCTCTGGCGTCGTTTCTGTCTCTCCAGCTGCACCGTGCCGGTTTATTGGCTCCCACCTGCCGAAGCGGTGTTTTCTTTGGGTGCGTGTGCGCCGCGGCGATGACGGCAACCCTCGGCGTGGGCTCTGCTGTGAGAGTTTCGGCGCGGGTAGCAACACAACAACAGGGCCCCCGCAGCACCGGGGTGTGTCAATGAGAGGGGCCAAAGGGTCTTTGTGTCTGGTCCGGAGAAAGGAGGCAAAAAGAACTCCACACTATTTTAGATGCTAGTCTGAAAACTGCTGGGATCGATTTGAAGCTATAAATTGGACCCATATTCATGTGCGTTTCTCTAACGAATCAAATGACAATTCCTTCATCAGCAGTCAGTCGTTTAATCCTGCAGAGGCCTGGGAACAAGCAGTCTATTTGATTGAGGTGTATTGGAAGAGTTTCTACTCTACGCGGTCCTGCATCCTCTCTTGTCTTCAGCTCCACTGCTTTTTAAAAAAAATTGGGATTTAGGCCTGTGGATGGAGACGAAGGTTACTTTTGCATTTCCCTGTTGTCTCGGCAAACGTTTTTGGTCATTTTCCCGTAGGACGACGTCGTTCTACGCCCAATCGTTCGTCCTATGCCCGTTCCACCTGTGGCATCTGTGGCCGAGAGGCTCTACCTGAGTCTCATCAGACCAAATCACACGGTTCTAGTTACAAGAGACTTGGTGACTCAAAAGGTGACAATAAATACACTCGCGGGGCACTACAAACCCAATTTATGTCCGCAAGATCTATTTTGTGCATGTAAACGCCAGCAGTCACCTCGTCTTTCCACGTCTAAACTCAATCTCTTCTAAGCTGACAGGGACTTTGAGTGCTTTGTGCCTTCATTGCTTTTGGGTAATGAGTTTTTCTACATCTGGTCAGACGTTGACGCCTCTTGAGCTGGTAATAGATGGATCCTATTCAGAGGGGATCAGAAAACAGGAAAGTCAAGTGTGGAACCGCTCCTGTAAATAAGAAATTCAAATAAAGGATGTTTAGTTTTAAGAGGGAGTTTAGAAGAAAGAGAGAGGAAGACGGAACGCTTAGAGAGAAAGACCGCAGGAGCAACAAAAGAGGGACTTGAAGGGATAGAGAAATAGGAGGAACGATGGAACATGAAAGAAAATAATAGATTCACATCCGAAGCAGGAATTGAAGAGACGAGGCCAGTCAAATTGATCAGCGCTGTCTGAGAAATGACAAGTCGATGCTCTCCCTCAGACACAGTGATCATTTCTCATGAATGTTAACAGCCCTCTTTTTTCTTTTCTTTCCTTTTTTACCCCTTGCCGTCTGACACGCCCCTTGGCACCAATCAAATCTTACACGACAAGGCTGTCAGCCAACATTAGGCCACAGGTCTTTCCTCTGCAACACCCGGAGCCTGACAAAGGTCAATTGTTGCTGAAAAATATTACTCTGTGGGTCAACACTTCCTGCATGAGTCACACAGAAGCACACACACAGCAAGCAAACTCAGGAGTCAGAAAAACACACCTAGAAAACTGAAGATATTTGAACCAAATCATAAAAGCGGACTTATAATCAGTGCGTGTTGAGAACCAACTTACTTGATTTTTGTGTTTTATATCTGCGGAAACTGTTTCCTGGAAACATGTTTTCATCATGTAGTTGCCAAGCGACCTCTAGGAAGTCCCTGCTATTGTTTGAAAAGAACAAATTATGCACAGCGGCTTGTTGAAAATCTAACTTAGGATCATTTCCTTTGAGAATTTTCAGATTTCCTTTTACTTTTTCGTGGCTCTGATGCAACAGTTTCGACCTATGAACGCAGCGACCAATCATCACAGTTGCACTCATTCAAAAGGAGCAAAATTGGACAGGAGGTGGCTTATTAGCATGAGTGGCACTGGCTATTTTCCTACCTCTCCCATTACAATCAGGCACATTTATAATTTTAACCAGACTGCATTTTATTCACCCTGTCAGCTTAAAAAGTGTACAAAATTGTCCTATCTGTGAAAGCAGTGGGTTCATTCCTGATGAAAATAATAAGCTGCATAAAGAGAAACTGATTTTCAACCTCTGGAACTAAATAACTCGCATCCGGTTGTGGTTTTAGGTATAATTTGGTTGAAAGTTGGTTTCTTTTTCCCATTTTGATATGTTTATTAAGCCGCTTTGTTTCTAAAGTATCTCAGCTACTAGCAGCAAGTCTCTAAGCAAAAAAAAAAAAAAGAAAGAAAAAAAGATGCATCTTAATTAAACTGAATATTGATGCTTCAATCTGAAATTCAATACAAACGGTAAAACCTGCACAGGCTCAACGCATGTATGGCTTTGACTAGGACTGCTAATGAGTATTCAAAAAATCCAACATTTCCTTCGAGTCACAAAATTGATTTGTAAAACAGCGATGTCGCATCGGGGACGACGCAGACTGCTGACCTGACATTTCCTCCCACCGAGAGGCGAAGCCACAAAAGGTCATTGCTAAAGAAGTTTGGCTGTGGACTGCATCCAGGCACAAGTGATGGAAAATAGAGCGGTAGAAAAATGTGAAACCTCAGCAGGTTTACGCTCTGCTAAATAT